CAGAGAAAAACCGAGGTGAGGGATCGTCGGAGAAAAATGGAGAGAGACAGAGATGCACACACACTCAAACACACAAGGGAAGTGTTTAGCGAGAGCCCCCGGGAGAGAGTGAGAGACAGAGAAACCGACTCCCTTTAAGTGCACGCGCTGGAGAGAGTCTGAGCAACGCAGAGACAGAGATAATCAGGAGAGACAAGGAGTAGATTTTCAGAGACCCACTTAGAGACACAGACTGCGATAAAGAGAGAACTTAACGCATGGGGAGACAGAAGCCGCAGGGGGGAGACAGGGAGAGACACAGAGGGGAGAGGATCTGAGAAAGACAGAGCAAGAGCAACCAGAGACGGGAGACACGGAGAGAGAGAATCCGAGGGAGACATGGTAACAGGAGAGTTGGAGAGACATGGAGACGGTCAGAGACACATTCAGCGAGTGATATTGAACAGGTGCACTGGGGACCCACAGAGATTGTCAGGGAAATAGACTGTGAGAGAGAAATGGAGAGACGAGACAGCAACAGGGGAAGACGCAGAAGCGCACGCACTAGCGAGCGACAGAGACAGTGAGAGGCAGGGATACAGAGACGAGAGCGCATCAGAAAGAGACGGAGGGAGAGACAGGGACAAGACTGGGAGAAAGACGACGACGAGAGACAGAGACACGCACACACAGCTAAAGAGAAAGTGCGCTGGCGAAAGAGACTCAGAGAGAAACTGAGACGGAGAAGCCGACCGAGAGTGGGAGGGCGAGACGGGATCAACAGAAAGGAAGGTGAGAGGAGAACGACAGACTGGCAGAGACAGACAGGCAGTGCGCACGTGCTAGCGAGGAATTGAGAAATAGGGACAGGCCACAGAGTGAGAGACAGGGGTGAGAGAGTCAGAGAAAACCGGTGAGATACACACACACACACACACACACACAACACACAACACACGAGGTACAGGAAAAGTGCGCTAGTGAGAGACACTGGAGAGAAAGAGACAAATCGACACATGTAAACAGGCAGGGACGGAGCGCGCGCGCATGTGCTAGCAGGAGAGCTAGCGGAGAGATCTGCGGAGAGACCTCCAGAGAGACCCAAACTTCGAGACCCCCAGATAGTGTGGGAGACGCGTAGAGAACGCGCGTGCGCGCGCCAGCGGAACACAGGGGTGGGGGTCGGGGGGACTCGGAGACCCCCAGAGGGAGAGGCAGAGAGACCCAGAGTAAGAGAAGGATTCATAGAAACTGCCCGAACGCGGACTGGAGCCGCGCGAGGGCCCCGGGGCCGGGGTCCTGCAGCGCCGCTGCCCGGCGCGGAAGCGCCCCTCTTCCTCCCCGGCAGGGGGACTAACCCAGCCCCGCGTGTTTCTTTCGTCCCCAGCCTAGGCGGTGAGTGTGGTCCGTGCGCCCCTTCGCCGCCCGCCGGTGCCCGCTCCGCGCCTGCACCTGCCTCCCGCCCGCCCCCGCCGCCGCCATGGCGTCCACCTGCACCAACAGCACGCGCGAAAACAACAGCAGCCACACGTGCGTGCCCCTCTCCAAAATGCCCATCAGCCTGGCGCACGGCATCATCCGCTCGAGCGTCCTGCTCATCTTCCTCACCGCCTCCTTCGTGGGCAACATAGTGCTGGCGCTTGTGCTGCAGCGCAAGCCGCAGCTGCTGCAGGTGACCAACCGCTTCATCTTTAACCTCCTCGTCACTGACCTGCTGCAGATTTCACTCGTGGCCCCCTGGGTGGTGGCCACCTCCGTGCCCTTTTTCTGGCCCCTCAACAGCCACTTCTGTACCGCCCTGGTTAGCCTCACTCACCTGTTCGCCTTTGCCAGCGTCAACACCATCGTTGTGGTGTCGGTGGATCGCTACCTGTCCATCATCCACCCTCTCTCCTACCCGGCCAAGATGACCCCGCGCCGGGGTTACATGCTCCTCTACGGCACCTGGATCGTGGCCATCCTGCAGAGCACACCCCCACTCTATGGCTGGGGCCAGGCTGCCTTTGATGAGCGCAATGCCCTCTGCTCCATGATCTGGGGGGCCAGCCCCAGCTACACCATTCTCAGCGTCGTGTCCTTCGTCATCATCCCGCTGATCGTCATGATTGCCTGCTACTCTGTGGTGTTCGGTGCAGCCCGCCGGCAGCACGCTCTGCTCTACAACGTCAAGAGCCACAGCTTGGAGGTGCGAGCCAAGGACCACGTGGAGAATGAGGACGAAGAGGGAGACAAAAAGGTTGAGTTCCAGGGTGAGAGCGAGTTCCACTGCCAGGATGAAGGTGAGGTCAAGGCCAAGGAGGGCAGTGTGGAAGCCAAGGATGGCAGCAGGAAGGCCAAAGAAGGGAGCGTGGAGACCGGTGAGGGGAGCGTGGAGGCCAAGGGCAGCGAGGAGGTCAGAGAAAGCAGCTTGGTGGCCGGCGAAGGCAGCACCAAAATTCAGAGCAGCAAGAAGGCAGACAAGGGCCGCCTAGAGGTCACCCAGTGCAACATTGACTTGGGTGAAGATGACATGGAGTTTGGTGAGGATGACATCCATTTCAGCGAGGATGACATTGAGGCGGTGAACATCACAGAGAGTCTCCCAGTCAGTCATCGAAACAGCACCAGCGACCCCCCTCTGCCCAGGTGCTACCAGTGCAAAGCTGCTAAAGTGATCTTCCTCATCATCTTCTCCTACGTGCTGTCCCTGGGGCCCTACTGCTTTCTAGCGGTTCTGGCCGTGTGGGTGGATGTCCAAACCCAGGTACCCCAGTGGGTGATCACCATAATTATCTGGCTTTTCTTCCTGCAGTGCTGCATCCACCCCTACATCTATGGCTACATGCACAAGACCATCAAGAAGGAGATCCAGGATATGCTGAAGAAGTTCTTCTGCAAGGAGAAGCCCCCCAAAGAAGACAGCCACCCAGACCTGCCCGGAACCGAAGCCGGCACCGAGGGTGGAACTGAAGGCAAGATCATCCCTTCTCATGATTCTGCCACTTCGCCTTGAAGTTGGTTCTAAGGTAAACCTGGAACTGTCCACAGAACACACGAGCAGCTTTCTCTTAAATGGACCATCCACAATCGCATTAATGCCAACCCATACCATTCCAGGCAAAGGTTCTGCACACACCCTCTCGCAGCAAGGTAGATAAATATATGGAAGAGGTAGGAACTGGGGTCTTCCCTTAAAAATGTGCCCCTGAAAGAATGGACTTGAGGATTCTGACTGAAATTTCCCCCCCCCCAAAAAAGTTATTAGGCTCTAAATTTCTTAAAGCAACAAGGGCTATCCATTTTGGACCCGTGCCTGGTATTCTGTCTGTCTCCCCAGAGCTACCATGTGTCAACTTTTGCTCTGGGGGAAAAGGAAGATGATACTGGTGAACTTAAGGACTTCTGAGTTCATGGGCAAGGGCTACAGCCCATGTTCAAGGGAAAGAAAAGCAATGGAACAAGTCATTCATGGAGCCCAGGAAGCATGACCTGACTGACTGATCAACATATGAGACAAATTCTAGACTGAAGGGCCCCCAGAATCTGGTGCAAAGGCTACTACGGAATCTAAGGGCACTGTGTAGTTAAAAACCAAGAAGGTTTCTAGATCCTCTAAAGGGATCCTGAAAAGTGGAAGAGGATAATAGGGCATGTTTGAAATGGAAAGCTAAGTCCAAGGGAGAAGATAGAGAAATCACACACATCCGTGGGGTTAAACAGTTGACTTTTTTCTATAAAATCCTGGGTTTGTGCATGGATGGGCTGAGACCAAAATTGTCTCATGCGAGTGGAAAATTGTCATGTGACACTATTTTCTGTCTCCTATTTGAATAATAGTGGGACAGAAATCATGCCACCAGTTTCCAATTTTCCCTTTTGTGATCAAATTGAGATGCTCATAAGAATCCTCCAGATCTCCTCTGCCAGTCACTTGTGTGTTTGCTTTTCCAAATAGGCCTTTTTGGTCTATTTGGAAACAGTATTTCCGGGGAAAGCAGTATTTCCAGGAAAAAAAAAAAAAGAAATTCAACTAGGCGTGGCCAGAGTCCTACAAAACTCACGCTGCCAATCAAGAGTGATGTGCCCACTAGAAATCTCTTTTTTGTGTCCATGAGATCATAGACAAGACATACGATCTCCTCATGGGGTGAAAGTAAGGCAGGATAAACGTTTTCCTTCCTCCAGGCTCACCCATGCATCTTTTCCACCTGTGGCTCTCTCTAAAGCCTTTAAGCTCTCCGCAGATGTGGGAGAGAAGTGTAGTCAGAAATGACAGAATGGTTTCTCAATACCTGGCAAGCATCTGACCTATTCCAGACAATCGTAAATCAAAGCGTTCAGGTCAGACTTATCCTAATTATTGCTTTTGAAATATATCACTTTGGGAAAATCTTTACAATATCTAAATTATCCCTAGGGTCAATACAGAGGAAGAGTTTTCAAATCCCGAAATCACTTTGGGTGGGAATATACTTGTTTATTTCTGAGGGCACAGACCATATCGATATCGCCAAATGACACGGAACCAAAAAATGGTCAAAACGGTATTTTTGATCCACCTGAAGATCAAATTAAAGCAACTCTATGGTCAGTCATGTGTTCGAGCAGAAATCCAATGTTAATATGGGTGGAGGGAGAGGAAGGAGTATTTGATTGAAAAAAACGGTTAATCCGGTGGCTGTATACAAAGATGGCCATATTCAGAGTTTAGTCTCATTCTTCTGGGATGACCATGTCTGTATTAGAACTCAAATTTCGTTCATTTAAAAGCCAAGCTCACTTATATTTTATCTCTTCCTCCTGACAGATTCCAACATGAGCATCTCAAGGGGGAGAGGTAAACAGCAGTGTATTGGGGCTGTGAATAAGTCTGCATGGGAATTTGGCATTGCCATGTTCAGAAGTTAGGAAAGGAGCAGGGTAGACCCAAATAACATTGAGCTGACCCATCAGTTCGCTATATCCACGAAAATCCTATTGATTTCAACCCCGTTAATTTGGAACTTGTGGTTCAGACAAGACATGGGGGCTGAAGGTTACCTTTGCAAATCATTTATTTTTCTACCAAAGCATATAAAGTGAATTAATAGTCATAAATTTATGATACCAGTTTATTGCCAAACTCTTGTATCGACCTGTCCTCAAAGGATATCTGGGTGAAGAAATGGCCCGTGTGACCAGTCCTTCTATGCGGGGAGGGGTATTGCCTTGAAGATCTTTCATGGTCAAAGGAGTTCGAGGTTGCTATAGCCTGTCCTCTGAGTAGAAATGCTTACCTGGGTAGGAAACAGGATTTCAGACGTAAGTGTCTCCAAATATTTTGTTGAAACTGAACTTCTTGTTTTATTTTTAAAGCTCAGCCCCTTCAAAGTGTATCAGAAAATTGTTTGCCAAAATCCCAAATCAAAGTGGAAGCAGAACCTGTCCAAGTGTGGTAAGTTCGTGTAATGGCACACACGACGTCCTCCAGGGCACCAAGGCTCACCGATTTCCTTTTGCAAGTTCCTCTTTGCCCTATTTTAGTCATCGTTCATTCTCATAGCAAATTGGCTTTTTCAAAGGTGAAAACCTTTTGAAAATAGGGAACTGGAAAAGAGGACCTTTGAATTCAGAGCATTCCGCTTTGCTGACATGTCCTTCTTAATGAACAATAGGGCCTCTAGTTAGCTTGGAGATAGCAACTGCCTCAAGTTTTATGCTGTTTTGAATACAACACTATCAACTTAATGAGGTTTTACTGCACACACTGTTTTGTCATTTGGAAATCTGAAAGCACACACGAAAGTCATCATTAGCCTCCAGATCCTCATGTGCAATAGCTTTCCCTAAATGTTTTTTTTTTTTTCCCCTAAATGTTTTTAAAGGAGGTATTCTTTTGCCAAGGCCACTTCATATGCGCAGTAAAAATCCCATTAAAGTCCAGGAGCCAGACTTTGAAATGATGTGGTTTCCAATTTAATGATTTCCTTAGTTAAGAATAATAGAGCCTCCAGTTTGCCAGGGAGTCGCAGGTGCTTTGACTCACACACCAATTTCAGCGAGCTTGGGGAGGCAGTAATAAGGAGCAAGCCCCTGGCTTCTGTGACTGTGAGGGCCCATCTTCTTACGGCACCACAAATACCAGCTGCCCGGAAGTCCTCTACACTTCCGCCCCCCGCCTACCTCCCACCATCATGCCCACTGCCTTCACCTGCCTCACTCCCCCTGCCCCCGCTGTGCTGGCCCTTCAGGAACATCCCATGCTTGAAGCTCCATGTGCTCACTCACCCCTGTTCATCCCTGCCCACCCAGAGCTGACAGGTTCACAGGGACCCAGGGGCCCGTGGCAGCAGGGAAGGACTGAAGTGAGCAATAGGATTAAAGGTATTTTTCTGTCTCCTCCCCAACTCCAATCCAGTTTAGAGATGAGGGGATACCTACTTCAAATTCAACAGGTAAGGAAAAGTGCCGTTTTATAATAGGAGGAGATAGGCACCTCATACCAAAAAACACACACTACAACACATCTTTGGGAGCACATTCAACCCTGTAGATACTGTCCAATTATTTCAGCGAAAAAAAGAAAAACACTAAAAAAAATGTACCTATAAAATTGTAAGGTGCCTGATATTGCCTTATTTTCTATGTAATTAACCAATTAAGCTAGGTAAAGTTACTTCAAAAGATTTTTTTCATACTACCTGAAGAGTAATATACAAGATTAAACTGGCTTTCTTTCTTAGACTTTGCCAAAATGCTCTTTAAAATGTCTGAAATACACCATTTGGAAGAGAAAAATTATGCCATCATCTGGTAATTTGAATGCTCCAAGATAAAACCCACAGAGGTTGTTGGGATAAAACAGAGAGTACCAATTTCAACTAGTGGACTGTATTTTTTTCTCATAACTGCCTTCCCCCATATTTTGAGGAAAAAAATCAAAAGAAGTGTTTTCCCCTCATAATGTCTTTTTTATTGTATTCCTCTTTAAGACAAACCCTCGGGCTGTCAGGAGAGGCTTCTCTAAGCAAAATGTCTTTTCCCCCTAGAGCAGACAAAAGATTAAAGGAACAGTTGGCCGTGAGCCAGTTACCAAGATGATAAGAGAAAATCTGGTCCGTCATGGCTTTTAACCCTCTCAGTCCTTATCTGTGTCTCTCTCATTTTCTGTGGGCCAGACAGGTGCTCCTGGCCCCCTCAAAGCCCCTCCAAGCTTAGGCATGAGGAGACAGAAGCAGTGAACCACAAAGAACAGATCATAGCCTAAAAGTCAAAAAGAAGAGAGGCTCTTGTCATAAATTCTTTCCAGTTACTTACAATCTCTTCCTCTACGGCAAAGGCCCAGCTTGCTTACAGCAGTCCTCTGCTAAAAGCAGCAAGACTGGCTGAAGGAAGAACTAGGGGGCTAAAATCCATAGCTAAAGTTCACTGCCCTTTGGTAAGTAGAATAAGAATCCTCAAGGTAAATGAAGGTCACCAATGGGTGTCAAATGTTCCCATCACTGCCTCTCAAAGCTTGCATATCTCAAAGTATACACACCAAGGGGAAAACACAGTAACTTGTACACTCACAAGAGGTTTGCTATGGCCAAGGATTCGTTACTGGATCTCTCTTGTTCTAAAATACAGGCAAAAACAAGATTGGTTTTAGTTTGGTGCTTCAAAGTTGAGTGGATTCCCCCCTCCCTTCATCTGTGCTACAACTTTAATGTTAAAAATTTGGTATTTTTGTCTGTTTCAGTGGTGTATTCCTTTCTGTAGTAATTCTTCTAAATGTAAGCTATTACTGTATATAAAATATGTGTTCTTGGAGATAAGGTGCTAGATATTAGATGTATGTGTCCGTAGATAGTGTCACCCTCAAAATTGGGTAGTACGTACATGTAAAGTTAGTTAATAAAATGCATGCAGAATTCTATTTGTGACCCACACCTTGGTCAGTTTCTGAAGTAGAACATAGTATATTTGTGTGTAAAGTTTTCTTTTTAAAGTGTATACTGCAGGATGTATAAGAGGATCCAAGGTGGGGTGGCAGGAAGTGGTGCCTTTCATTCCTTAAATCCCTGGTATAATATACGACAGGTGAGAACTTATTCTGGTACAGTTGGTCATTACTGTGACTTAATCGTCTTGGCCAAAGTCCTCGCTGGCAGTTCTCCACAACATGCTTGGCACTGGTACGCCTGTTTTCCATTCATTGTATAGAATGCAGAATCAAAAAAGACAATCCTTTCATCCTTAAAGAGCAAAGGCCCCAGGACAGGCTATTGGAGTCCTGTTAGCAGGATGGAAAGAATGATGTAGTCTCAAGATCCAACCAGTGCCCGACTGTGAACTGGCAGGGTTTGCATCGAGCAGATCTATATTGCCACCATCCCTGCCCTCCCAGAGCAGCACCAAAAACCAGAAAAAGGCTGCTCTGTTTAGTTTTGTTTTTTTTTTTCTTTGATCGGTTGCCTGAGAGATAAGAGAGCATAGATGGGTAAATACATAAAGAAGTAGTGGGACTCCTCCGGGGGTCACAGCTAAGATGTTTGAGAATTACAATCGTATAGCAATGGCATTTGCATCAGACAAGAAAAGACAACTATGAGATGAGTTTATTATATTTTAAGAATAAAAATATTAAAGCTGAAAGCTATATATATTGAATAATTTCTAAAACTGCCTTTAATACCAAATTTTATGTGCTGTTTTTGAGACTGAAAGCAGGAGGAAAATGCATTCAGTCAATAAACAGTTTTCTTTAGTATTTTAAATTTTGAATTTGAATTTTTCCTTTTCCTTATCAAAAAGTATTTGTAATTTAAAAGTGCCTTTTCAAAGGATTGCCAAACGACAATCCTGGGGCCAAGTTCCCACTGGCACAACTTACCTTCAGGTGCACAAAAGGGGTGGACTTAATCCTCCTCCCCCCAGCAAGAAGAGAAACCCCTTCACACCCCAGTCAAATTCATACATGATTACTGTTACACGGGTCAGTAGTCTCGGAGACTCTGCCCAAGGACAAGGTTTCATATATTGGTTGGCTTTAATTGGATCCTTTCTAAAATGGTTACAGTACATGTTCTTGCTGGACAGGAATAACGGACTCCTGCTTGGGGAATACAGAGAGATTGATGTTTGTGGTTTAACTAAATATTATTAAGTAATGTTTGTGTTTCTTAAATAGGTGCTGTTAATCTGTCCTTGGTATATTCTTCTTAAATATGCTGAATAAAGTCTAATTTTAATGCGTGTATCTGGTTATTATGCCAAGCTCCATGGAAAACACATAAGAGAGGGAGACACATAACTAGTTCTCTAACCCTTCTCTTTTGCTGGAACAGAGGAAACAAGGGAAACTAATTGTAGTACGCAGCAGAATGAAACAGACGGGCTCCAATGCTTCACATCGCACTATTCCAATACAAGGAATATGCAGTGGGAGGGGGGAGTCATCTTGAGGGGCTTGCTGGAAGAGGGGAATCTGCTGCGTCCTCTGTGAATAAAAAGGATTCCAAAGTGAGGGTGGTCAGGCTTGGAAAACAAACTTATGGTTACCAAAGGGGAAAGGTGGGAGGAGGGATAAATTAGGAGTTTGGGATTAATACACACTACTATGTATAAAATAGATAACTAATGGGAACCTACAGTAGAGCACAGGGGACTCTACTCAATATTCTGTAATAACCTATACGGGAAAAGAATCTGAAAAAGAATGGGTACATGTATATGTATAACTGATTCACTTTGTTGTACTCCTGAAACTAACACAACATTGTTAATCAACTATGCTCTCATACAAAATAACATTTAAAAAAAACAACAAAGTGGGGATGGGTGGGCAGAGTGGAAAAATGGGGCCAGGCGGTTTGCGGGGCTCCCAAATGCCAGCCTTAGTCTCAAGGCCATGAGGTTTGGGGGGTTGGGCTGAACAGGCTTTGTTTTAGGAAGCAGTACTGCCCAGCACCTGGCTCACCCCCACCGGGCTCCTGGCCCTTCCGTCTTGCTACTCATGACCAGGACACCTCCCTCGGCACAATTCAGCCACACCAACACCGTTGTCACCCACCCCCCACACACACACACATACACCCTGAGTCCCGACTCACCAGGGTTTACACAACAAGAGGCAGGAGCATGTTCTCTCAAGCCCCAGTTTAAGAAACTGGCGCAGCCTCTAACACCAACCATGACATATGAAAACACCGGGCACAGATGAGATAAGCAAATATGCCTAAAGCTTAAGAGCCCACTAGTTTCTCTCAAGTCGATGTGCTTGACCTACTAGTAGCCCTTCTTCCCATAATCTCATCAGCAGTGGTACAAGGAGCTGCGCCCTCCTGCTTCCACGCTCGCTCGCAGGCTCGCAGGGAGCTATTCATCCCTGTTTCAATCAAAGGAAAGTGCTCTTCTCCAATTTTCACTCCAAAATCTAAATACTGACTTACGCGCTGTTATTTCGAGATGTTCAAAGATGGCTGCCGTGAGACCCGCCCGTGGTCGCCTTTAACCTTGGTTTGTGAACAACGTCCAGGCGATGACCTTCTCGTGCTGCAGAAATACATTTACCATCTAGAAAACTACACCACCAGTGCAAGCAAGTGAGCTCGTGAGCTCCGATCAAACTACCGGGCAGCAAACCTGGTGGGAGCAGAGTCCCCCGAAGCTGGAACACTGCTTAGTGCACAGTATTTAGAGAAGGGGCCAGGTTCCAAGGTATCTGTCGCCTCAGAGAAGTTCCTCCTCTCAGGCAGGGTTTAGGGCTCGGCCTTCGATTCCGAGACTGAATGCAAGAGGGTTGAGAGGGGGCTTCCCTGGTGGCGCAGTGGTTGAGAATCCGCCTGCCGATGCAGGGGACACGGGTTCGAGCCCCGGTCCGGGAAGATCCCACATGCCGCGGAGCAACTAGGCCCGTGAGCCACAACTACTGAGCCTGCGCGTCTGGAGCCTGTGCTCCGCAACGGGAGAGGCCGCGACAGTGAGAGGCCCGCGCACCGCGATGAAGAGTGGCCCCCGCTCGCCACAACTAGAGAAAGCCCTCGCACAGAAACGAAGACCCAACACAGCAAAAATAAATAAATAAATGAATAAACTCCTACCCCCAACATCTTCTTTTAAAGAACCAAGGGCTGATCCCTAGAGCAGATCAACATTTAAAAAAAAAAAAAAAGAGGGTTGAGAGGATCTGAAAATGCCACTGTCAAGAGACACCTTTGACTTTCTGTAGCCCCTCCCTCCCCCCCCACCCCTTCCAGTCTGCTCCAGGCCCCATCACAACCCTGCTCCTTCCAATGCAGAGGAAGGCCTACTACTGGTTACTGAACTAGTTTCTTCTTCCCTGAGGCAACTAGTCAGCTCTTACTCCGTCTCCCACTCTCTCAGAATGCAGCCCCCTGACCCTGTCCCTCCTCATTCCGGACTCCCCTTCAAGGGCAACACCACCTCTTTGCTCCCTGCACCCACCAACATGCATTCCTCAGCTTGACGGCGGCGGCGGCTTTGAGAACGTTCATGAATTGAAGGGTATGTGTAGATAGTTTTCAAACGTTTACCTCAATAAGACCAATATTTATCAATAAAATTTATCACAGAACAATGTATGATTTTCATGACTGCTCCCCCCAAACTGCAAGCTCAAAGAATGCTTGCAATACAAATTCCCATAATTTGGGAAGTTTCCCATAACTCCAGACTATTGTTGAGTAGAAGCAAAGAAATCCAAGAAAATTGACTCCAAAGATTTTGTATCTACACACAACTAAGTCACACTTGCACATTCTCAGCCTCCAAAGGCAGCAAACAAAAAAAGACAACCAACAACCAGAAATGTGCTGATTTAATTGAGGAATAAGACAGCAGTATCTGCTATTCCATAAATTCTATATGCTAAACCAACGCATATTTTTAAGTGATCACCCAGATACAAAGGTGTAAAATAGTTTGTACAATCAACTTAAATTGGAAAATTTCACATTTTACCTAAGAGTTATTTGACAGTAGTTCTGATGCTCTAAGCAGATAAAGAAGAAAAAAAGGAAAAAACTTTTCATTCAAAAATCCAGTCTACTCAACTTTAATTTTTTAAGGAAATGTGCTTCCTTTGTTCTAATTGCTTTAAATCAAACCCTTTTATGGTATTGTTTCAGGAAAATATTACTTAGAATGAACCTACCTTCCAACCTGTTTCTTTTTTGTCCATACAATCGTATTTTGTGTCATACAAACTGAGGCCGGACAATGAGGTTTTTAAATTGATAGATATTAAAAACATGCAATTGGAAGCATACATATATATCTCTATAGATGTTCATATAGCTACAGATATATATTCAAAAGCAAGGGTGATGTGCCTGGAAGCCTCTGGGGACATTCTTTAATCCACTTTCACCACACTGTAGATTTTAGTAATAAAACAGAAGCAGGAAAAAAATCCAAGTGTCCCTGAAACAAAATGAAAAATATCTTTGTTAACCAGACATTATAGAACATCAAATTAGCTTTCTCAAAAACGCAAAGCGGGGCTTCCCTGGTGGCGCAGTAGTTGAGAGTCCGTCTGCTGATGCAGGGGACACGGGTTCATGCCCCGGTCTGGGAAGATCCCACGTGCCGCGGAGCGGCTGGGCCTGTGAGCCGTGGCCGCTGAGCCTGCGCGTCCGGAGCCTGTGCTCCGCAACGGGAGAGGCCACAACAGTGAGAGGTCCGCATACCGCAAAAAAAAAAAAAAAAACCGCAAAGCATGTCCATTTTGAAGTGGGGCACTCATTCTCTAAATCTCAAGACTCGAACTTTATCAAATAAAAATCACCAGGCTCTCTTGCTGAGCAAAGAGGATGAGCAGCGGGGCTGGAGGCAGTCACCTGGAAAAGGGTGAGAAGCCATTTGACTGAACACTGCAGGTCTCTAACCAAAGCAAAGTAATAAAAATGAGTAACTTAAGTTCTCTATTTCAAAAAGGATCAAAAGAGTGCAAGGCTACTTTCTTTCTTTTTCCTTTTTTTTAAAAATAAATTTATTTACTAATTTTGGCTGCGTTGGGTCTTTGCTGCGCACAGGCTTCCTCTAGTTGCAGCGAGCGGGGGCTACTCTTCGTTGCGGTGCGCGGGCTTCTCATTGCGGTGGCTTCTCTTGTTGTGGAGCACGGGCTCTAGGCGCGCAGGGTTCAGCACTTGTGGTTCACTGGCTTCAGCAGTTGTGGCTCGCAATCTCTAGAGCACAGGCTCAGTAGTTGTGGCACACGGGCTTAGTTGGTCCGCGGCATGTGTGATCTTCCCGGACCACGGATTGAACCCGTGTCTCCAGCATTGGCAGGCGGATTCTTAACCACTGCGCCACCAGGGAAGCGCCCATGGCTACTTTCTAACACAATAAACTTTGTATAACTTGCTTCAATTTTAGAAAATGTAAATAACCATTATCTACGTAGCAAAAGCAGGAATAATCTATTTACTTACATACTCAGAGAATATATTAGTTTTCTAAATCAAAGTTTTGCATAATTAAGCTTGAGAAATGGCCCATCTCTGGGGACTTACCTTAAAGAAATGATCCCATAGAAGAAAAAAAATTACATGCAAAAGGTGTTCATAATACTGATTTATAACATTGAAAAGTCAAAATGCCCCCAAACAGATGACTACCTAAACGATGAACCAAGAAGAAATAAGATAGGCATCAAAAATGACAAATATAAAGACACATAAAGCAGCATGGGGCAATATTTATAATATGGTGTCAGGTGAAAAAAGCCAGACCTCAAAGAACTCCCAGGCATCACACCTATGAGAACACTGCATAAGCCTAAACCTGTCGACTACAGCAGAGCATGAACAAAAGAAGATACCTTTATATCTTAGGGTGACATGATTATGGACAAATTTTTCTTTAACATAGAATTCCATTGATGTTCATACTATAAAAATAAATCTTCAGATGACATTAAGGTCTAATGACTTAATTGAAGAAAACTCTAATAAGATTTCCAAATCCCATAGTCTAAATGGGGCACCCTAAGACAATTCAGTCATCCAAGAAAACATCTTAATAACAAGATCACAGAAAGCTTTAGGCAGGGTTTGTTACCTTTTTCTATGCCGATTGCTAAATTTATCAATAGAATAACTTTCCATCCTATATACCATCATGCCACTTCCCTCCCATCCTACAAAGCTCCTTGTCAGGAGTCAGTATGGTACAGTGATAAGACCACGGGCTCTGGAGGGACACAAATCTCCTCTGTTGGTTACTTGTTGATCTTGGGCAAGTGACAGTCTTGCCAAGCCTCAGTTTTCTCAGCTGAAAAATGGGGACAATAATACCTATTCCTACTTTTGGCTTCCTTTTTTGAATCCAACAACTTCAAAGGTTCAGGTGCATAGCTAACATATGTCTCTGAATCTAAAACACTCCTGATTTCAATTTGCTGCATATTATTCCCATAAATCATTAAAATGTCTATGAATTCTCAACTTTTTGATGCTCTATTTAAAGTACCAAACTGTCTCCTACCCGAAAAACAAAAATCCATCAACCCTCACATTGTTCTGACAGTTGGCTGAGCTAAAGAATCTGGAGTTAGGCAGACACTTAGCTGTATGATGTAGAGCAAGATACCTATCTCCTCTGTGCCTCATAAGTGAAAAGGAATCACGTCCCTGCCCAGCTAACAGGCTTGACCTGACAAAAAAAGGGTAAAATACATTAGAGGCACCCAAGAAATGATAGCTGTCACTGATGTTCTGATCTGGGGCTTGAAAAATATGTTCACATGGGATTTATTTGACTAGTGTGGAAGTCCTCAACATCACCTGTAGCTTGGAATCACCGGGGGAGATTTAACAAATACTATTGCCTGGGTCAACCCCCCCACTATGCTGATTTAATTGATCTGGGATGCAGCCTGAGTGTCAAGAGTTTTTAAATCTCCCCAGGTCCTAACATGCAACCATGGTTCAGAACCTCTGGGCTAGCCTGTCTTCCTCCCTTAAGTATGAAGAGAGGTGTGGAAATTTCTCTCCTAAGGGCCACTGTACCACACAAGTTAAAAGCAACGTAAAGGATCTGGAGAAATTAAAATATTTTTTTCTACAGCTCAATTGCTTGTACTACAACTTGAGGGTAGAAAAAAGGAGATGGGACAAAATGGGGGAAAATTATCACTTTGGTGTCTTTGCCTACTTTTCCCTCAGGACAGGGAAAGTACTAAACCAATACTAGAAGTGTCCTCGTTTCTTTCTAAACCTCATAACCTTTTTTCATTAGGTGGGGTGATACATAACAAAAAGACAATCCAACCACATGATCTTGAATGAGGCAGTCCAAGACAAGCAGAGAAACCCATTTTCCCCCTGTCCTTTCTCTAATTGCAATTCTATAATGAAAAAAATTCACAGTCTGATCTAGAACTGGCATCCAATACACATTTCCTCCAGGGCTTTCCCAAAGTAGTCATGTGCACTTGAAAAAGAAGAAACTAGCTAAATAAAACGTTTTGAAAGTCTATCACATTCTATGCAATGTGATACAAACAAACCTTTAAAGAGCTTTCCACAGTCCCTTTGGGGACTAAATTCCAATATACATTAATTTGAGAACTGGCAGCTGTGAATAAGACACACGCAGAAAAGATTTTCCTAAAGCTGGAATTAAAGCCATTGCACAGAGGAATAAAGAGAAAGTGTATTTGGAGGAAAGGGTCTTGGGGACCTTGATTCTCCTCAGCCACATTTGATCCAGTATTCAGTAAGCACTTTCTCTGGGCCCAGCACTTGCCAGGTAATGTAAAGGATAGAAAAGGGGGCTCTGGTGGGGAACAATGTCAGTGGCCGCACAACATATCACTATTTATACAGAGGTCGCAGTCCGAGACTTGGAAAGGACCCCTAACCCCTTGTCTTTCTCGCTTCCATATCTTATCAGTCACCAAGACCTGCCAATTCGAACGTGGAATTTTTTTTGAAGTGAAAATATTTTATTTACATGCTTATTTAAATACTTCTTTTCCTCAACTAAATACTTACTGTGATAACAGAATACAATTGCTTTCCCCCTCTCAGTTGGTAACCTGTGAAATTTTTTGTTTTGGTGTTTACATACATAGGAAAACATCTTTATAACAAGTTTTAGAACTAAAGAGGAGACAGATTCAGTAACACTGCCACACCCATTAAAAGTGCCAGCGAATGGATGAAAATATTACCAGAATTCATATTAAACCACATTTTTTCACGTGCATGTTACTGTTAGGATTGGAAGAAAGTGGTGTTATTTACTGCAGAAACTCTTAATAGATACAATTTAATATAATGTATAAACATATGTTATACTCATTCTTGCATAATTGTATAATTTGTTATGAAAATAAAAATCAGAGATGGTAAATGTAGTTTTCACTGATTCCTTGATTGTTTATGTTTACTTTCCGAGCTCGATGCTCTATCATTTATAAATTAATGTTTTCTGTGATCTTTTCTCTAAAAATTTTATTATCACTTCCAGAACATAATTGGCATTGATTTTTTTTTTATGGGAATCTTCTGAATCCATCCCCTCCATCCATCTGTCCATCTCCGTAGCCATTGGGTCTTAAGTCACACTCTCTTCATCTCTCATCTAGAAAACTGTCTCCTAGCTTGTCTTCACTTCTAGTATCCCTCTCAAATCCATTCTCTGTCAGAGTGATTGTGATATTTCCAAAACACAAGTTTGATTGCCAGGTCCCTACTTACAAACCTTTAATAGCTTCCCATAGCAAAAGTACTTAAACCCCGGAGGGTATCAGAAATCTTTTAAGCTGCTAAAAATACAGATCAGCAAGAATTCTGATTCAGGGGCTTTGGGATAGGCCCTGGGCATGAGATTTATTGGTTTTAGGTAGTTTTAAATAATTTCCACAAGTGAATGTAAGGCACACCCAAGTCTGAAAATGACGGCTATATATGATAAAAATTCCAACTCCTTAGTCTCAGCCCACAAGGCCCTCCAGGATCAGACCCTGGCCCGCCACTTTAGGCCTTCTTCCTGCCACTTGATGCCTTAAATTTTAAACTCCCCAACCCCAAATTACCTGAAGATCTCCGTGCTTTCACAAAACTCCAGGTTAACTCTATTAGGCTCCTTACCACGATGCGTGGAAATGATCTGTTTAGAGGTCTTCTCTCTCCAGATGATAGCCTTGAGGCTAGGGTGAAGTCTTACTCAATTTTGTACCCCCAGTGCATAGCATAGTGTTGGGCACATTGTAGGTGGACAACTAATGTCTCTTAAACTGAACTGTTTAAATTAACTGCTTAGCAATGTAAGCTCCATGAGGATAGGGATTTTAATCACTGCTAAAGCCCCAGCCTCTAGGGCAGTGCATGACACACAGTAGGTGTTCACTATATTCTTCTTGAATGAATGAATGAATGAATGATGAATAAATGGCAGGAACTTGGAGAGGGCAT